GGCACATATCTAAGGTGCCAGTTCCTTCTCCGAGTTGGGGGTGAGTTTGGCAACAGATCAATGTTTTTCTCTCTCTCTTCCTTCCTCTATAAAAACAAACAAACGTATCTTCAGGTGAGGATTAAAATATACTAAAAAAACAAAAAAACCAAACAAAAACAAACCACAAACACCCGAACAAATAAAAGAACAAAAAACAATGTACTGCCCTGTCCCATGTGGCTCAATTGGTTGGGCATTGTCCCATGCACAAGAGGGTTTCGGATTTAATTCCCAGTTCGGGCACAGGCCTTGGGTCAGTCTTGATTGATGTGTGTGTGTGTGTGTGTGTGTGTGTGTGTGTGTGTGTGTGTTGGGGGGGGGAGTTTGGGGGGAGAAAGGGATGCAGAGGCAGCCTATGGATATTCTGCTCTCATGTCAATGATTCTCTCACTTTCACTCCCTCTCTCTCAAATCAACAACAACAAAACATAAAAAAAGAAAAAGTAATGATTACTTCCTTTAAAAAATTTTATGATTGACCGAGTGATTTTAGAGAAAAAGAGGAAAGGGGTAGGAGAGAAACTTCGATTTGATGTCCACCTATTTATGCATTCATTGGTTGATTTTATTTTTTAAAATGTTACAGAGGAAGGTAGAAGGAGAGAGAGATAGAAACATCAATGATGAGAATTCTTGATTGGCTGCCTCCTGCGTGCCACACATTGGGGATAGAGCCTGCAGCCTTGGGAATCTCTTAGGAGATTGGGGATATGTGCCCTTGACTGGAATTGAAGCCAGGACTCTTCAGTCTGCAGGCTGATTCTTTATCCACTGAGCCAAACCAGCTAGGGTAAGGCAACTCTTTCTTTTTTTAAATTTCTTTATTGATTAAGGTATCACATATTTGTCCTCATCCCCCCATTTCCATCCCAAACCCCTCCCCACGTATGCCCCACCCTCTTGTCCGGACCACTGGTTAGGCTTGTATGCCTGCATGTAAGTTATTTGGTTGATCTCTCCCCCTTTTCCCCAAGGGCAACTCCCATGGAGGGCAATTTTGGTACTGTGTTTTAAAATTACAAATGCATTCAACTGCTTTTATAGAAATTCCTTCTATACACTTGGACAGATGCAAACTGAGTTATATAAGGTTATTACAGAATAGCTTGTGCTAGTTAAAGATTGGAAACAAGCACTCCAGAGTTCACCAGCACCCTACAGTTCAATTGATACACACACTCATACACTGGTATGGTAGGCAGCTATAAACAACATATATATATATATATATATATATATATATAAATTTTTTTTAAAACTGTGTCAGGGACATTGGTGCTGTAGATATTCTGTGCCTGCTTCAAATCAAAATTTACAAAAGACCAAAATAAAGCAAACTATGACATTCAAAGAAATAATTAGGAAGGATAGCATAGAATGCAAGGATCTGGGCAGTCTATCAGAAAGCTCCCTTAGCCAAACACTCCCAAGACTAAAGCCCTGAAAAACCGGAATTGAAATGAAGGCAAGACCAAATTTGCAGCTGACTTCCTTTGCCAAGAATGATCCCGTAGAGCACGCCTGTTTGTAGGGTGTGGCCATCTGGATCCCGGACTGGCTCTGCAGAGTGTAATAGGAAAAAGTTGAGGGTAGCAACAGTTTGACTTTATGACCTTACTTTGTGCTCATCATCAGGATTACTTAGGTCCTCTAGCAGCTGGCAGGGTAGGCCCAGGTGTCCCAATCTGATAGTAAAGGAGAGACCAGAGGAAGAGGGTGTGAACCAACCCTACGCTAAATCCACCGGCCCTTCGTCCCCAGCCCATTTCCCTCAAAATCAGTAAGAAGCTGTGTGATAAGTGGATCATTAAAGAAATAGGAGTCTGTACTAGGGAGATGACAGTGACAATGTAAAGGAAGAAATGAATCTCTAAGACTTTAAACTTTTGTAAGAGGCCTAATTTTTTAAAGATGCCATTATTGTGTATGTGAAAAATAAACTATTTAAAAATATTGACAAGGATGACACTGTTTTATAGATACATATACATTTTAAAATATATTTTTATTGATTTCAGAGAGAAGGAGAGAGGGAGAGAGAAATATCAATGACGAGAATCATTGATTGGCTGCCTCCTGTATGCCCTCTTACTAGAATCAAGTCTGCAACCCAGACATGTGCCCCAACAGGGAATCAAACCGTGACCTCCTGGTTCATAGGTCAATGTCCACCAATGAGCTACACTACCTGGACTGTATTATATATTTTTAAATTCACTTAATGCTTAATTAATACAGGACAGCTGAATTTTCCTATCTACTTTTGCATTAAATCTTTTATGACATCACCTATCATGCACTCTGAAAAACTCCACTGCACACTTATGAGAAAATAAGAGTGCAAAAGATATTGTCTTACTATTGTTATGAGTTATTTTTGCCTTGTGCAGTTTCTGGACCATACTTTGCGAATCATGACCCTATCCTTAGGAATATGTAGGGAGTTTTCAAAAACCCTCTATGGGAATCTCATTTCCCAAATTTTCTTTTTAACTTTTTTGTTCCACTTTGTTTGCTTCAACTGGTATTGTTCTCAGGCAGTTATGGTGTTATGTTAGACAATAGCCAAGAATTTTTATTTATTTACTAGAGGCCCAGTGTATGAAATTCATGCACTGGGGAGGGGGGGGGGGCTGTCCTCTAGCCCAGCCTGCACCCTCTCCAATCTGGGATCCCTCTCCAATCTGGGACTGCTGGCTCTCAGCCGCTCACCTGCCTACCTTCCTGATTGCCCCTAACTGCTTCTGCCTGCCAGCCTGATTACCCCCTAACCACTCCCCTGCCAGCCTGATTGATGCCTAACTGCTCCCCTGCCAGCCCATTTGCCCCATAGAATGTGTCTTCCCCTGCAGGCCTTGTCATCCTAACTGCCAGTCCAATTGCCTGCAACTGCCCTCCTCTGCAGGCCCTGTCACCCTAACTGTCCTCCCTTGCAGGTCTGATTACCCACAACTGCTCTTCCCTGCAGGCCATCTTGTGCAAGGGCATGATGGTCAATTTGCATATTACCTATTTATTATATGGATTTTAATAGAAGCACTAGAGGTAGGGCTTATATCACTGAATGAGCTCTCAAATCTAATAAAGACAAGTGCTGTGAATGGGGCTTTTCTAGGGAACTGCAAGACAAAACAAATAATGACAATTCTCTGAAGATGAGTCCATTTGAGAGCTTCAAATCCATTTCCATCCCTCCAGTGGCTGCTCTACTCCAGGTTTTCACAGTTACCACAGTCGCAAGGTAAGATGTCTTTTTTTCAATTGAAGAATTAGCTGTAAGAAAGAGGTTTATTTATTTATTTATTTTTGTTTGCTTTAGAATTGGGAGCTGTCATTTTGGACAAGACATTTAAAACCCTATTGTCAATCTTCCATCCTAAGAGATCCCATCCCTCTGAAAGGAAATGCCTTCCAATTCCTCCTAAAAAAAAAAAAAAAAAAAAAAAAAAAGCAAACAAAACTTGAAAATTGTTTCTTCTGCTCTGAGACAGAAAGGCCATTGTCTTCCTACATTTGGCCCCACTGACCTCGACAGGACGTCCCGGACCTGGATCCCAGATGGGGCAAGTGGGTGGGTTGATTGACATACTGGCAAGCAGTGTGAATTAGGAATCTGGGGATGGGCAGGGCTGTACCTCAAGACGCTTGAGTTTATACTTCTCAACACCTCATCTCCATTCCAAATAGCAAAGACATCACAGTTAAACTTAACTAGGGGTATGTGATAAAGTGACAAGTTTCTCACTAAATGTTCTCCTTTTCCTTGCCCGCCCTGGACGGACTCGGAAGACCACCTGAAGTCCTTGCCCAGAATAGGTGTCTGCACAGGGAATGAGGTCTAGGATTTGCGTGTGAAATAGGGGAGTCCTTGCCAGGCCGAGCCCCTTCCCCCGATTTCTGGCCGTTTAGATCAAGGATGGAGTGAGTGAACATGGCTGGTGGCTGCAGGGCTGGACCACGGCCCCCGGCCCAGACGGAGCCGCAGAAGCTCAGCTAGCGGAGCGGACAGGTGTGCTGGGCGGCGGCGGCTGGACGCGCGGGCTCAGCCGTCAGCGCCGGGGGGCGTGCGCGGCCCACTCGCCAGAGGACTTGACAGATCGCGGAGAAAGAAAACAAAAACCAAACCAAAGCCCACCAGCGGCCTCACGTTTCTTTGCAAACAAATCGTGGGTGGAACTCCGAGCTGGATGGTGGAGCAGAATTCCGCGAGCCGCCCCCGCCCACCAGCGCCCGGGCCCGCGCCCCCGCTCCCCCCGCTCCGGGCCGGAGAGGAGGTCCGGGCGAAGCGAGCGCCGTCCGCTCGGCGCTTCCCGGCTCCGCGCCTCCGGAGTAAACAAAGTACCGCCGCCGCCCCACGCGGGTAGCCTCCCGCAGCCAGACACCCCGAGGGCAGGGGCGCACAGAACACTCCAGAATTACAGAAAATAACCTTCAGAGAGAGAAAAGGAGAGGAGAGGAGGGGAGGGGAAGGGAGGGGAGGGGAGGGGAGAGGAGAGGACAGGAGAGGAGAGGAGAGAAGGGGACGGGGAGAGGAGGGGAGGGGAGGGGAGGGGAGAGAGAAGGGGAGAAAGGCGAAGAGAGAGGAAGGAAAGGGGGAGAGAGTGAGAAGAGAGAGGAAAGGGAGGAGAAAAAAAGGGGGGGTGAGAGCGAAGGGAGGAGAGAGAGAGAGAAAGAGAGAGAGAGAGAGAAAGAGAGAGAGAGAGACACCTCACTACCTCCTACCAACCCACTGCCGCCTTTCGGAGGAAAAGCGGCCCCTCCCAGGAGAGAGAGAAAGAGAGAGAGAGAAAGAGAGAGAGAGAAACACCCCATTACCCCCTACCAACCCACTGCCGGCTCCCGGAGGAAAGCCGGCCCCGCCCAGTCCGGCGCCCACTGGCTGCCCCGGTGGCGGTGCCGCGCGCTCATTGGCCGCCCTGGTTGTCAGTCATGGGCGGGCCGGCGCGCGCGCCGCCGCGGGAGGGGGAGGCGGCAGATCCCGTAAGTCGGGCGGCCGCGTAGTAGCTGCAGCCTCCGCCGCCGCCGCCGCATTCAACAGGCAGCAGCGCCGCGGCCGCGCTGCCGAGAGGAGCGAGCCGCCCGCGGCGCCCGTCAGCTGTCCGGACCGCGCTTTGTCAGCGGGAGCCCCGCGCCGGCGCTGCCCGAGCCCGGCGACCCTGGCCTGCCGTCCCGTCGGCGCAGCGGACCCGGAGGAGTGTGGTTGTTGATGGACTCGCCAAGTTAAGTTCTGGGCTCGCGCTGCCACTTCGCCGCGCCTTCCTCGCGGTTTCCGTCCGCCCGCCGCAGCGCTCTCGCCCCCAGCCTCGGACCGGCGCCTCGCGCCCCTCCCCCGGGCCCCCGGTCCTGCGCTCTGCCCCTCTCGGCTCTCCCGGCTGGGGGAGGGGCGGGGGTCACCATGGCCGAAGCGCCCCAGGTGGTGGAGATTGACCCGGACTTCGAGCCGCTGCCGCGGCCGCGCTCGTGCACCTGGCCGCTGCCCAGGCCGGAGTTCAGCCAGCCCAGCTCGGCCACCTCCAGCCCGGCGCCGTCGGGCGGCGCGGCCGCCAACTCCGACGCCGCCGCCGGCCTGCCCTCGGCGGCCGCTGTCAGCGCCGACTTCATGGGCAGCCTGAGCCTGCTGGAGGAGCGCGGGGACTTCCCGCCCGCGCCCGGCTCCGTGGCGGCGGCCGCGGCGGCCGCGGCGGCGGTGGCGGCGGCGGCGGCGGCGGCGGCCGCCACCGGGGGGCTGTGCGGGGACTTCCAGGGCCCCGAGGCGGGCTGCCTGCACCCGGCGCCGCCGCAGCCCCCGCCCGCCGGGCCGCTAGCGCAGCACCCGCCCGTGCCCCCCGCCGCGGCCGGGCCGCTGGCCGGGCAGCCGCGCAAGAGCAGCTCGTCCCGGCGCAACGCGTGGGGCAACTTGTCCTACGCCGACCTCATCACCAAGGCCATCGAGAGCTCGGCCGAGAAGCGGCTCACGCTGTCGCAGATCTACGAGTGGATGGTCAAGAGCGTGCCCTACTTCAAGGATAAGGGCGACAGCAACAGTTCGGCGGGCTGGAAGGTGAGCGGCCGCGGGGCGCACGGCGGGACCCGGGGAGGGGGTGGGAAGCCCTCCACCTGCGCCTGAGGTCGCGGGGGGCAGACGAGGCAGTTGTGCGAGTTTGCTGGTCCTGGGAGTGCAGGGCGCGCGTGCCGGGAGCGGACGGAGATGGGCGGATGTGGGTGGCGGACTTGCCCGGGACCGGTGCGGGGACAGGGAGCAGAGTGCGCGCTCCAGGGAGGGCAGGATGGAATGGGGAGCCAGCTGGTTTAAGGGAGGGAGAAAAGTGTCCAAGAAGTGGACATCGGAGCAGGGATAAAAGTTTGCCAGTGGAAGGAGAACGGGGTTCCCTGGGAGCTACTCCCTCGCGCACAGCCCGCGCGGACTTTGGGGTCTGCTCTTTCACCCCCAGAATCTCGGGGGCGAGGAAGGCTCCTCACGGGCCCGTGGCGCGCGACCTCCCCGCCCTGGGCCGTGCGGGAGCCGTGTCCGCCGCGTTTGGGCGGGCGTGGGCCGGCGAGGGGCTGCGGAGCCCCGCCGGCAGGTGGACGGGGAACTGGCAGGCGGGGCGCGAGCCTGTTTCTGAGGATTGGCCCCACACGTTTTTGGAGGATGGTGTGCATGTTGCTTTGTTTTGATTTTATCCGAAATGGCCATGAGTACAGGGAACCGGGCGTGCCGAGCTCGAGGTAGCGCATCCGACGTGTGCAGTGTGTGGGCCGCCGCCTGCGGAGCCGCGGAGCCGGGCCGCACGAGGCGAGTTAAAGTTCAAGTGTGACCCTCGGCGGGGGCGGAGGCGGGAGCCGGCGACAGCCAGGGCGGGGCCGAGAGAGCAGGAAGCGAGAGCCTTTAAAGGGCCAGCGCGGCTTTTGGCCCGACTGCGGCCGCGGAATAGCGGGGCAAGCGCTTCTCTGTGCGAGGAAGTGCCCGAGGGTCCCGGGCCTTTAAATCGGCAGAAGAGCCTCCCCTGGGTAACCTGCGCTGGGGACTGGGGACGAGTAGACCTTTTCTCTCGCTTTGCCACCTCAGTGTTACCACCAAGCACGGAGGTACAGTTCCGAGGGCCTCATCCCGACTGTGCAGGCACCATAATAAAGAAAAAAATATTTTTTATATACAGCGTAATCCTTGCTGCGTACTTGTTACACCAAGGTGGTTTTATATGCAGTGTCACCCCCCGTCGTTATTGTGTGTGGTGTTGAAGTTCCTGGAGAAGGAAACAGGATTTTATTTTTTCCAGTGTTTTTTTAGAGTAAAACGATCACTTACAACTTTATTATTAGGCACCCATGCAACTTACCAAGTGTTTCAAAAGGTAAAGTGCCTCCCTAAGAGGTTTACATTGTGAGTACGTGAAACACAGAGTTTGTATAATTACTTAATATTTATTGTATTTCTATATGAACAACTGTAAGCCTACTTTTAATCCCCCCATTCTTTGAAGTCAGGATTGTCTGCCAAGTCCAATTTTACTTAACATTTGAATCTAACTACTTATCTTGCTCATCTATCTATTCTACTTGAGCTATGATAAAGCATTTGTCATTAAGTTTTTTATTTTATTTTTTGCCATTTGAAGTACAGAATATACTTACACAATTCTTTAACTGGTATGCCCTTGGAAATGGGTACAACCTATTTAAACTTGCTGGAATGCCTTTCTTTAAAGGTAGAGAAAGCCAACGTTTTAGGATTATTTTTAGTTTTGTTTCTCAAATGGCCTTAAGTCAGGGTGTTATTCTTAAAATAGGAATATAACTTAAAGTTTTAAGATTTAGTGCTTTGTAAAAAAATATAGATAATAAAGGCAAATCATCTCAACCATTTTTATTAGATTCTTGTTCTATTTTTTTTTCTCAAATGCAATTATAGTTTTATTATTTTTAAGAATTTACTTACCCGAGTAGCGCGTCTATTAATATTAAGTATTAGTTAGGATTATCTGTCTAGACTTGGAGGCCTTCTGGTGGGACCTGGTAGAAACCTAGTGGGGCTTTGGAATGAAGCAGGCTGCCATTCTCCAGTAAATGCTTCAGGTGTAATCAAGAGTCAGTTTGGTGCAAGTCAGATTACAGCAAGTGCATTTTCACTTTGAGTAAATGGGTATTTTAAGAAGGAAAAAAAACAACATAGGGTGTTCTAACTCATAACTAAGTCTTCTGGTTAGTTTTCATAAAAATGAGTTACTTGTTAAAGCTAAGTTTCACTCAGATCTGAAAGATTTTCCTGTTTTAAAGAATCATAAAAGGAAAAAATTCAGTTGTAAAATGCAAATCAACCCAAACTTAACTGCTTTAGAACTGAAGAGAGGTTGCTTAGGAACACTTAAGTATTTACTGTGATGAATTATTACAAATTAGACTGGTTGTTTAGTTAAATATAGTTTCTTGTGTTTTTTCTTCTTACGGCCTGCCTGAGAATTTGAAAGTCATTTGCATTGAAAAAGTAGTTGGGAAGCTGTTAAAGGGCTCAAAAACTTCTAGTTCCTTACATACTGGTTATGTGTTTGGGTCATGAATTTTGTATTTGTAGGGATGGTACCTTAAATCTACTTTACACTAGTTTAACATTTACTAGAACTGTCATAAGTTTACAAAGTAGAAGCTAACATTTTTTGAAAACTCGAGATCTTTTAAACCATGTACAGTATTTATAAGTAGTAAAACTTCATTCCCATGACCTGTTTTTTTTTTTTTTTTCAAATAGAAAGCTTTCTAGAATTTGGGAAGTAATATTGTGAGTTCTGATTCTTCTTTGTAATGGTAATTTTGAGTTGGCTCTTGTTTTTTTGTTTTGGTATTATTTGCAACACTTAATTTAGGTGAAAAGAACGCGGCAACAAGACTCAACACATACAAAAAATTTAAATTGTTTTATTACTAAGTAGCTCAGATATTCTTTATTTTGGAATGAAGTTTCTTTAATTTGGTTAGTGAACTGAGAGTACATTTTCTTGCGTATTAAAATTATATCCACCGGTATTCTGTAATTTGGGTTTTTAAGCTGTAGGTGAGTGATTTATTTAGCTTGGCAGAAGATTGCAGCTTTTTTGCTGCACAGTTACATTTGACGTAAGTAATCCTGGTGAAGCCAACTTCTAGTTGGTTTGCTACTGAAATTCCCGTAAGGAAAATCCTTTTTTACAGTTGGGTGAAAATTGCAATATATGTATTTGAAGAGAGCTTGAGGAAAGAGAATTAAAAGTGGATAATTATGCAGTCAAGTATATCTTATTTGCTAAAGATTGAAAATCGTGTGAAACTGATGTAAACATGAACATGTCATAACTATTTTGTTCAGAAATTCTAAAATAGATGCCAAGTATGGTAGTAAGTATCTTGATTGAGACTCATAAGGACTTTATTTTTATTTTACCTATGTTTTTGTGGCAAAAAGGTGAGTTGTGGCAGTATCATTTTTGAATGATACTGAGCTTTTAAAAATCTTCCTTTTTAAGTGGCAAACATTTAAATATTGGAAAGGTTTAAAAGTTCTCATGTAAATTTTATTTATTTATTTATTTAAAATATATTTTATTGATTTTATACAGAGAGGAAGGGAGAGAGAGAGAGAGAGAGAGAGTTAGAAACATTGATGAGAGAGAGTCATCAATCAGCTGCCTCTTGCACATCCCCTATTGGGGATATGCCCGCAACCAAGGTACATGCCCCTGACCAGAATCGAACCCGGGACCCTTCAGTCCCCAAGCCGACGTTCTATCCATTGAGTCAAACCGGTCCCAAAAAAGTTCTCATGTAAATTTTAAAAAAGGTTAAAGTTTGTGGAGACCTTTTTATAATTACTGAGTCTATCACATTGGCGGTGAACACAAATATTGCTAGATAGCATGCACTATACAGGGAATCTGAGAGTACAATTGAAGTGAAGATAAGGGGAATAATACTCAGTGGTTAGTTAGAATCTCTAAGAGGCTGGAAAAGTTTTGTCTGTCCTTGAGCTCTTCATCCAGACTCCTAAACTGCAATTCTGCATGACTTACATTCTGTCTATTTGCCTGTCTGTCTGTCTATCTATCTATCTATCTATCTATATTACGTTGAGAGAGAGAAACATTGATTTATCATTCCACTTACTTCATGCATTCATTAATTGCTTCTTATGTGTATCCTGACCTAGGTTACGTCACAACCATGGTGTATTGGGACTGTGCTTTAACCTGGTCAAGGCCTGCATGACTTTCTGAGAGAGCAGCTGTCTGTATTTGTCTGGAATTTCTTTGGGAAATCTGAACTATTTGTATGTTTCTGGAACACTCTGCCCTTGGAAACTACCCAGTACCCTGGCATCATGGGAATTTACTCGGCTGTTTTTTTTTTTTAGCATGTGTGTGCTGTAACTTTGGTGCTTCCTGGAATCCTCTTGGAAAGGCAGTATAAACCCATGGTGACTGGAGAGAGCAAAGGAGTTTGCAAATATAGGGAGCATCAGCGAACACTGTGGTTTTAGTCCTGCTTCTCTGCAGTTTAAAATTTGCCTTGGCCCTCATAGGAACAACTTGCAGAGACTTGCCCAAACCCCCTGGAGCCTTTCTTGGGTCAGATAACTATTTTTTTTTTTCCTGTGCATACAAAATTCTGAAGTTGATTTGGTTCTCATTTGTGAAACAGAGGACCAGATGAACTTGAAAAATGTTTATTTTGGTGTTGAAGGGATGCAGGCTTATAATTCAGCAGATATACTGTATACAAATGTGTTAAAAGGTTGGAAGAAGTCTCCCTCTTTGCTAATTTCTGATAAAAGTTTATTAAAAACTTGCCGAAACCGGTTTGGCTCAGTGGTAGAGCATCGGTCGGTCTGCGGACTGAAAGGTCACAGGTTCGATTCTGGTCAGGGGCATGTACGTTGGTTGCAGGCACTTCCCCGGTAGGGGGTGTGCAGGAGGCAGCTGGTCGATGTTTCTCTCTCATCAACATTTCTAGCTCTCTCTCTCTCTCTCCCTTCCTCTCTGTAAAAAATCAATAAAAATATTTTAATAAAAAAAAAGTTTATTAAAAACTTGT